GAGTGGAGTTTCTTCATGCTCTTCTCATCTAATTTTGTTCTTAATAGGTACAACACAATAACATCTTTAGATTTATCATAAGTACAGCCATTCACATAAAAAACAAACAAACAAACATTTCTTTCATATATTTCCTGATCTGGACATTATGCTGTAGCAGTTTACTTGAAATGTGGGAAACTGCCTATAGAAAATCCCCATACCTCTATAAAAATATTGACTTTATTTGTCACACAGCCTAAAATCAAATCACAATTCAAATAACTTTTCCAGCCTTTGAAATGTTTTTGTAGGTTCCCCTAACCTGTGTGCCTTGACTTAATCTTAAAGGTCTTTTGAAAGCAGGCTGTAATGTGAGCAAAGATATAGATTTTGACAGGGTATGGTGATTTTCTATAGGCACATTATATGATCAAGTATTTTAGAACTTGTGATTGAAATTATTTAAATTGAGCAGAAATGTTGCATGACATCTGTAGTATCATGGAATCTAAGTGATATTTTCTCTCTCAGGTGTGATAAGGAGAATGCTTTGACTCTTTATCCCTGGATTCACCAGTTCAGTAATAACAAAGCATCCTCTGATCAGACAAGACCTGTGTCTTTTCCTGATGTCAACCCACAGAGCCTCCCAGAAGACTCAGACTTTTCTATGGTCGCTGGAGACTTTCAAGAAGTATACAATGATCCTGGTGAGTTTATTTTTCATAAACAAATAGATTTCTTTTTCATTGGACATTGATTGCACATGTTTATTATTGTGTTATATTTTCTGTATTTTATATTGACAATATCATTTTAAATCCAGCTTTAAATTGAAGATTAAATTAGGTTTAAAAATAGTTAAAAAGTCGTTAACGTCACTAGATTGCGTCATACATCAATTTGCATATTAGATCATTTTCAGATAGCAGTTTCTGTTTAACAGCCTATGGTTAATAGGGTTTTTTATTTGCATTACGCTTTTTTTAAATGCATGTCATTCATTTATTCATTCATTCATTTTCCTTCAGCTTAGTCACTTTATCCATCAGAAGTCACCACAGCGGAATGAACCAACTTATCCAGCCTATGTTTTACATAGCGAATGCCCTTCCAACTGCAACCTAGTACTGAGAAACACACATACACTACAGCCAATTTAGTTTATTCAATTCACCTACACCGCATGTCTTTGAACTGTGGGGTAAACTGGAGCACCCGGAAAAAACACACATGAACACGGGGAGAACATGCAAACTTTATACAAAAATGCCAACATACCCAGCCATCTCAAACCAGTGAACTTCTTGCTGTAAGGCAACATTGCTAACCACTGAGCCACTGTGTCACCCTATGCATGTCAATTTAATTAAATTTACTGTTGCTTGAGTACAGTATATCAGTATAGATGTGTAGTAAATTTGCTGTAATCTCTCATAATAAACTCACGCAGTCATTAAAATGTCTGTGATTATGAACAAGAAATGAATAAACGGTCAAATTAAACTGTTAAATTTTAAATAAAGGAGAAGCAGATCGGTTTGTCTGTACAAGGGATATACCTCACACTCCTGGTGCTAAATCATTGCAGTTGGTATGTAAAAGGGGTTACAGGTGTGAGAGATGGCTGTGCGCGTGTGGTATTGGGCTGCCTGTGAGTGCTCTGAGGCAGGGGAGGGGGCAACAGCATCACCCGCAGCTTGTTGAGAAGAGTAGAAACGGTACATTACGGACAGATGAGAATCTTAAAAAAATCTCCAGTAACACAAAAAAAAAAAAGTCGCTAGATTTGTTGCTGGTCGTTTAGCAGAGTTATCAGATATTTCCAGTGTAGACCAAAGCAAAGTTTAATAATTGCCCAGATTGCATTAAATCTTTAGCAGACCTCATACAGTAGTATACAAATGCTTTTTTAAAACATATGAATATAACATTTAAGGTATACATAAGACAAACTCTTATTTTACAACCTGTTTTGCTATCTATTATTTTCAGTTAGTTTTTCAGCAACTTTTTTGTTATTATAAAATTTCACTTTACAATTTGTTTTTGACCACAAGTTTTATCAACAGTTTTCAATTACAAATATACCCTAGGCTAGTCCTTGGTAAAGTTGTAGACCAGAAATATAGACTTAAATGAGATTAAGCACTGTTTTATCCCACTTACAGAAATGTGGGATTGCGTCGCTACTTGTTTTTTCATTGACACTGCCCACAATGTTCTCGATTACATTGAAACCATCTGGAATATTCTAAAGCCTGGTGGTGTTTGGTTGAATTTGGGTAAGTTACAGATTATGTATAATCCTAATCATTTTCAGTCAAATATTATGTACGTATCAAAGTTGAGTTTGCAGGTGTGGTTGAAGTTGTTTGTTTGTTTATTTGTTCTCAAAGGTCCACTTCTGTACCACTATGAGAATATGGCAAATGAATTATCCATAGAGCTGAGCTATGAAGACATAAAGGCTGTTGCTATGAAATATGGATTTGTCCTGGAGGTAAATAATAATCAGCTTAATGTTTTCCACCAAGATATTTGCATTCATAAGAATAAAGTATGTTGTTATATGTTAAATAAAGTTTTTTTTAATTATTTTTTTATTTAACAGTTGGAGAGGGAATCTGTTCCCAGCACATACACAGAGAACGATCGCTCCATGCTCAAGTACCTTTATGACTCTGTCTTTTTTATTGTACGGAAACCTGCAAAACAGTTGATCAATGGAGATAAGGCACTTAAAGATAGCCAAACTGAAGATTCTTTACACACAAAAAACTCAACATGACCATTAGATGGATGGCTGAAGCTCTGGATCATATCACAGATAACTGACCCAATAATAAACTTATGGATCATTTTAGCAAATTCCTGATAATACAAAAAGACTGGAGCTTTATTATGTGCTGACTTATTTCCCATTTACCAAAAAAGTAAGTCATGTTTTGGTGCCTCATTTAACAGTGATGTTCCTCAGGTTTTGGGTGCTGCTTCACTTTATGCTAATGCCACTTATCACTCGACAAGTACATTTCAGTGTTTTTCTTGCAGTTGTTTACATTAATATCTTCCATGTCCAAAATAGTAGAGTGACAGACTCTGCTCTGGATCTTAAACAGATACTTCTCCAGCCTCTTTGAGGAAATTTGCTGTCCATCAATATTGTGATAATTGGCGGCGCTGAAATAAAGTTGTTTTAAACTTACATGATTTTCATGATCTTGTACATATAATGTAATAAAGTTTTTACAAACACAACCTGGAAAAGGCTTATTGTTTTATATGAAAGGCTTTTGTAAACTTTTGGGTTCATTATTCATCACACAAATTCGACAATAACATTTTGGACGTTGGAGAACCTTTGTGCATTTTTTTCATGTTATTTTTGCATGTTACAATGCAAAACAACAAAAAAATTGTAGTTTATTAATTTTTTAGCATAAATTTTTCATAATTCTTTTTTTTTTTTTTTTTCCATACAGCGTTTATACAGTCATGAAAAACCTGGAAAAGTCATGGAATTGTGACATGGCATTTTCCAGGCCTGGAAAAGTTTTGGAAAATCTGAAAAACCCACAAAGTTTTGGAAAAGTTATGGAAATTAGTTTAACAAATATCTGTATACTTTATGTATGGGTTATTTGTCTTTCCTTCTTTTCTGTTCATGGCCAAACACATGATCTCACATTATTAGTGCTGTGTGAGCATTATCTAAATACATTTTACATAGATATCAATATTCATTCAAACTAAATAGATTGTTGCATGTTTTATGACAACCTGTAATGAAGGTGCAATGTTTTTCTTATGATTTACAATGTACACATACACAATACATGAAACATTAGGTCATAAGAATTTACTTGAAAGTCCTGGAAAAGTCATTGAATTTTAGTAGTAAAGAAATATGTGTATGAACCCTGACAATTGGTACAGAGAATATTTCACTCAATCAGCGCCTGTTCCAGCTGAAACCCAATTTAACCCTCACAGATTTAAGCAGATTATATATATATATATATATAATGAATTAATTATTAATGTAAAACCTAATATTTTGGCACATTTGGCACTCCACATGTTTGGCAACACCTCCTGTTGTTGCACTTGCACACTGAGATTAGTGACTTCACTGTGTAGGTTTAGATGAATGTCTGAACGTGGATGTGGACTCGGGTTTTCTTCAGTCAGACCCTTCTCGTCCCCACTCAGACCAAAAGAATATAGATTATGCATTTTTAATTATATGGGTATGTTGGTATTGATTTCAGCGTTTGTTCTGATAATCTAAGAAATGTTTATATGTTAGTTTAGTTTATAGTGTTCCAGTCTGAAAAAAAAATCTAAAATCTTCTTAGCCTTGTATAAGTAAAATATATTTTTTGTTTTTCATTAACTTGGCTGCAATAGGAAAACAAACTATTTCAATTAATATGGACAAAAAAATAAGTAAATCTAAGAAAACTTTAAAAAAATGCTACATTGTTTATTTTAGAAGGACATTGGTATCACTTTATTTTGATGGTCCCTTTTGTTGAATCTAAGGTTCACTGCATCTGCATGCCAACTAATTCTCATCAGGTAGACTGTTAGGTTGGGGTTGGGGTTAGGGTTAGTGTAAGTTGACATGTGCTGGCAAAGTTTCTTATAGTCAGTTAAATATCTGTTGGAGGAGTATATCAACAGATATTAAGCAGAGAGCCTTCTAATACTCAAATGAGAAGTAATTGGCATGTAACAATGCAACTTTTTGT